TTTCTTCAAATGTTCTCTCTGCCTCTTTGTTTTTCTCTCTTCTCTTCTGATGCTCCCACAATGTTTAGGTTTGTCTACTTGATGGTGTTTCACATGTCTCTTAGGTGCTATTCACTTTTCTTGAATCTTTTTTCTTTCTGTTTCTTAAACTCAATTTCCACTGTCCTATCTTCAAGTTCATTGATTCTTTCTTTTGCCTTCTCAAATCTGCCTTTTGAATGAATAAGTTCTCTGAATTTGGGAAATTTTTCAATTTCTGAATTTTTTTAGTTTCAGTTACTATACTTCTCAGCTCCAGAATTTCTTTTTTTGATTTCTTTTTAGGTTTTCTTTTTTATTGATATTTCCATTTTATTCACATACCATTTTCTTGGCTTTCTCCATATCATCCTTACTTTTTTGAGTATCTGTAAGACAGTTGTTTTAAAGACTTTGTCTAATAGATCAGCCATCAGATCTTTTTCAGGGGCAGTTACTGTTCGTTATTTTTTTCCTTGAATGGTCATACTTTCCTGTTTCTTTGTATGCCTTGTTTTTTTGTTGAAAAATGGACATTTGAATTCAACAGTGTAACTCTGGAAATCAGATTCTCCTCCTACCCCATAGTTTGTTTTGGGTTTTGGGGGGGTTTTTTTTGTAATTTTTGTTAATTGTTTTTAGGTTTTTTATTTTTGTTTTTTAATTTTTATAGGCTGCCTCTGTGCCAAGGCACTGGGAATCTATCTCCTCGCTTAGACAATAATTGCACTGGCAGAATCTGTCTGATGTAACTATTTTGGAACTCTAGAGTCTATTGAAGGCTTGCAACTTCCAGGGAAAGGCTTGGATAGTAAAGTGCAGCCTGAGGCATTCAACTTCAGTTCTTAGTGTAATCTTAAGTTCTTCTCAGATATTTTCAGAACCTGCAACTTTCCCTGGGCATGTACAGTCACTTTTTAATTTTCCCTGTATATACAGTTTTTTTTTTTTTTCCCGTGTCCGGCAACGGATCACAACCCTCAGTGTCACGCCCATACCGGACCGGGACCGGCAACGGGATTGCAACCCTCGGTGTTGCACCCGCACCTCGCTCAGCCAGTGAGCGGGAACCGGTCTGCATGTGGGATCCGAACCCTCGGCGGGAGCGCCACCACACTCTCAAGCGGCGCACTGTAGCAGTGCGCCACCGGGCCGGCCCTATATAGTTGTTTTTGAATGTCTTAGTCTTTATTGTCTGGGTCACAAAAAAGAGGGAAAGGGGGAAAATGAAGAGAGGGGAAAATGAAGAGAGGGGAAAAAGAGTGCCAGCCCTTTAAATTCCCTGGAAGTCACTTCAGCCAGAGGGGGAAGTGCGTGCACCATTGGGGGAAGGTGCAACAACAGTGACTGCTCAGCCCTTTGTGCCTCTGTGATCAAAAGTAGCAGTGATCAGAGCACAGATCCCCAACATTTGTAGGGCAAGACCCTTTTCCCCCACCCCAGCTCCCACTAGCTGTGCGTAAGCTGCTCCGGGAACATATGCACAACTCCCTGTCAAAGGGCTGGGAGTCAGGGATGGGTAACTGCTCCTTTGAAAAGAGCCAAAATTGATCAAAATTAACTGCACTTTACTATCCAAGCCTTTCCCTGGAAGTTGCAAACCTTCAATAGACTCTAGAGTTCCAAAATAGTTACATCAGATAGATTCTGCCAGTGCAATTATTGTTAGGTGAGGAGATAGATTGCCAGTGCTTCCTATGCCACCGTCTTTCCAGAATTTCCCAATAATAGCTTATAGCTAAAGGATTCAGTTCAGAATCATGCCTTGCATATAATCGTCATGTCTCTTTATTCTCCTCATTGTTCAGTCTTTCCTTGGTTCTCAAGACCATGGCCACTCTGTATGCCCACCCTTCTTACTTAGTTGGACCCTGAAAAGCATATACTTTCACAGTTTCACATGGGGAGACCTTCCTTAGACTTCTGCTTGGGAATCTGTATCCCTACACTTGGTCATTTGTAATTTTGATAAATGAAAAAAATCTTCATTTGTATTTCTTTGATCACTAATGAGATTGGGGAATTATGTTTTTACCAACTTCTCCTGTTAAGAGACTTAATATATAACAAAGCCAAAATTATGACAGCTTAGCAAGATCACCCCCTTATCTAATTCTCTTCTCCTTTACTAAGGATTATATATTTTCCATTTGTTAAAGGAAGACATCTTTGGAAACTATACAACTGAAACCTACATGGGGAGAGTTTTTTTGAGCTTAAGAACCTTATTTTATCACAGCATAATGCTTGATGGACTTATGAAACATAGGCAGCCATTTCATACTAAGTAAACACTCAGTGAAGATGGATAAGCCTTTAGCTAAACCACAACAGTAGTTGTTCTGAGCTTCAAGTGGCAGTTGTTTTCATTTATCATCTATTTTTATTTTTCATTTTGACATGGGGAAGACCTTGTTTGACATTATTTATTATGAACATTGCTAACATTATCCTTTTTTAATTGTCCTCTATTGCTGTTTTGATTTTTCTTTTATTTGCTCCCTCCATACAAAATTTCTCCTCCTTTTTTTGTTTTCAGAATATGCAACTTTCGGCAGAAGATAATTATTCTGTTCAAGTCAGAATTTCTGTAAAGGGAAATTGTTTCAAAATCCTGAGACCTATTAAATATGTCTCTTAACCAGATGTTTTTGCATACATTGTAGACAGACACACACACTTATCAAAATTAACAAGTCCAAGAGAACCCACTAAATATCCACATCTAATGATAACATTTGTGAAGTTTACTGGGCTGGGGACTATAATATTCCAAAATGCTACTTATTGTGAGGATGATACTGTTACTCAAGGGAGACCCATATCAAAGTTTGTCAACTTGAAAGACTATCTAGTATTTTTTGAGCACTACAACAATAATATCATCAGAGTTGTAATTGTGCCAATATTTGTCAGAAGGACACAAGGAAAATTAATATTAGTGAGTTTACTGTATTTCAGTCCCAGGTTCTCACCATGACCCTAGGAGGTGGTTGCTATTTTCCCATTTTACTGGTAAGAAAACTGAGGCTTAGCAATAATTAAGAAAATGCCCCAATCACACAGAGGGTAAGAGGCAAAGGTTTGGTGAGACTACAAAGCCTGTGTTCTTTTCACTTGACCACAGTGCCTCTCTGTGTCAAAAGAGGAAAAATTTACTACCTTGAGTTTATCTCGTTTGTAGGATGTAAATAGTTTAGTTTTGTAACAAACAATTTCTTTGCTTTCTCTGGCAGAGATTATTTTCCTATCAGTCATCTGACCAGACCATTATATGTGAAGGCATTTCTAGTTATCTGTTAGAACAATTACAAGCCTATTTTCATGGAAAAAAAGAACTGGCTTCCTTTGATAAACACTTTCTTGTGAATTCCCTTTATTCAGCTGAAATAAAATATACCCTTATCAGGTTGATTCTCTGACATCTGTTAAAGTCTGGTAACATAACTTTCCAGGAGTGATTTTTGTGGGGTTTATAGACATGCATGTATACTGTGCAGTAGTTCTTGTTAAACCAGTAATATTGGTCTGCAGCATGCTCAGTGGTTGTTTCATTCCAGAGAAGGAGTTAGAAAGGAAATGAATCTGTGGCGCAAGCTCAGGCCACTGCCTGCCCAAGTCCCTCAAGGCCTGAATTTATCATGTATTTGATCCTCAAAAGAATTTAGGAGTAACTCTGGTATTTTGTAATATTCTAATGTGAACTTTTAGATTTAACTGTTATTCCTACAAAAATGATTCAAAGCACTATCTGATGACTGTTTTTGAAAAATAAGCATTGTGTCCTTTAACACATAAAATCCATGAGTTCATAATTATACTTTAGAAAAGAAAGCAAAAATAAATCAAAACTCCTTGGTAACCACTGGGCCCAACTCTTGACTCTGAAATTTAAAGGGAAATATATTAAGCGTTTATTCTTCCTTTTCTGTCAAGCTGTACTTCAGATAATCAAAGTAGCTCTAGTTGTTAAAGTTACTGTCTGCAGAAGAATTCTAGTCCATGGAAAGAATGGTATGATTAGATAATCACCATTTTAATTCCTAATGAAATAACTGATTCAGCAACAATCATTGGGTGAAACTATTAATTAAAATGTTGGTGGGGAACTATTCAATGGTGGGATCAGGCTGTCACCACTTAAATGCAATGATCATTATTAACATCCCTAAAACTGGAATACCCAGATATTGTGAGCCTCCTAGCATGACATCATTGAAATGCATACTGAAGTATGTTCGGAGGATTTGCTAGTGCTAAAGTGAAAAATAGAGAGACAAATCTCTGAAAAAAGAAACAGGAAAAACAGATTGTGATCCAGACACAGACCAGAATGGTCTCTGGTATATCCAAAGAACAAACAAAAGATTGGGAATTTTATTAGAGAGATAAATGTTATGTATTGTTTTGAAAGAAAGCTCATTGTCACTAACGAAGTTTTTGAAGTTAGCAGGCTTTCATGAGTGACTGCAGTAGGTAAAATTAGTCTTAGAGTCATGGCAAGTCAGTTCAGCAGCTACTAGGTAAAACTGGTCTTAGCTGTAAAACTAGCAGGCTGCTCAGCAGCTGGGTCTGTAGAAAATTCTTGGAGCAGGTGCTATGTGCCCCAAATGCTTTTTCTTTCTGGCCCCTTGACTCTGATTCAGTTTGTGTATGACAAGAATGACCCAATTTCTATAACCAACTTTCACACTAGAATTACTTCAGGAAAAAAGGGGAAAGGGGACAAACATAAGGTAAGAATGATAAAATCTTGATCATTTTTCAAGCTAGGTTATGGACATATGGGGGTTCATTATACTCTTCTCTCTTTTGTATGTTTTTATTCAAAAAAGTTTAACATTGGTTTTGGGGGATGACATTTTTCTTTTTTACAGTCAACATTGATTTTGTCTGTTTCATAATGTTATAAAGTTGCCATCCTCATACTTGTGAGAGTTGACCTATAAAGTTATAGAATTAATATCATGTCCTTTCAACAGATCTTTCCCTAGACCATTCTGACCTGGTTGCAGAGTTGTTGAAGGAGCTCTCTAACCATAATGAACGTGTAGAAGAAAGAAAAATCGCCCTCTATGAACTCATGAAACTGACACAGGAAGAATCTTTCAGTGTTTGGGATGAGCACTTCAAAACAATATTGCTTTTATTACTTGAAACCCTTGGGGATAAAGAGGTAATTGGCAGAATATGTAAACAATAGACTCTTCTGGGCCGGCCGGTGGTGCACTGCTACAGTGCGCCGCTTGGGAAGCATGGCGGCACTCCCGCCGAGGGTTCGGATCCCACGTACAGACTGGCCGCTCACTGGCTGAGCGAGGAGCGGGGGCAACACCGAGGGTTGCAATCCCGTTGCCGGTCCCGGTCCAGTACGGGCGCGACACTGAGGGTTGCGATCCGTTGCCGGGCAAGAAAAAAAGACAAAAAAAAAAAAAAAAAAAAACAATAGACTCTTCTTCCTGTCTCTTTTAGATTGCCTATTAATCAGATACTACATAGATTGAGAAATTGAGAAAACGGGTCTATTCCTCTGCTTTTCTCCTCATGAAATTTTCATTATAAAGGACTTTTTTTCTTTTAGACCAAGTAGCTCAATGATTTTGAACAACTGACAACAGAAAAAATTAAAGGTTGCAGGCTGAACTTTTATAGGAAATTACAGGTTACTAGTTTTGCATATTTAAATTAGTTCAGAAGTAAAACTTTTTATAGTCAGAATGTAGTTAGTTCCTTATTTCTTACAAATATATGAAGTGTCATTAATTTTCAACTACAGTTTTGAAAACTCAATTGTTATATATCACATACATAGTACAGTTGTCTATAATAATCCCTCCCCCCCAGTATTAAGACCCTGAAGTTATAGAAATTGAAAATGCTAAAGATTGTCTACAATCAAAAATATTTCAAACATTTAAATGTTTCTTCTTAGCCTACGATCAGGGCTTTGGCATTAAAGGTTTTAAGAGAAATCCTAAGGCATCAACCAGCAAGATTTAAAAACTATGCAGAACTGACTGTTATGAAAACATTAGAAGCACATAAAGATCCTCACAAGGAGGTAAGTTGCCTGACAGTTAAATTATTATTTTATTCTCATTATTTTATTGTATGAAATATGTAAACATTGCATAAAAAGTACCCTTATTAGTCACTTCCTTGATGGACACTTATCTTTATATTCAAGGTTCATACCCGATTAGGAACAAATATATGAAGTGTCATTAATTTTCAACTACAGTTTTGAAAACTCAATTGTTATATATCACATACATAGTACAGTTGTCTATAATAATCCCTCCCCCCCAGTATTAAGACCCTGAAGTTATAGAAATTGAAAATGCTAAAGATTGTCTACAATCAAAAATATTTCAAACATTTAAATGTTTCTTCTTAGCCTACGATCAGGGCTTTGGCATTAAAGGTTTTAAGAGAAATCCTAAGGCATCAACCAGCAAGATTTAAAAACTATGCAGAACTGACTGTTATGAAAACATTAGAAGCACATAAAGATCCTCACAAGGAGGTAAGTTGCCTGACAGTTAAATTATTATTTTATTCTCATTATTTTATTGTATGAAATATGTAAACATTGCATAAAAAGTACCCTTATTAGTCACTTCCTTGATGGACACTTATCTTTATATTCAAGGTTCATACCCGATTAGGATGTGAGCATATATTCTTTTCTATTAAATGGATTATGGTGATATCATGGCCTTTCACCTAAAATAGGCTAGCTCTAGGAAATATTATTTATCTCATTTCATTTTCTCCTTCATTTCACTTTTAGAGTTCACCAATTTTATCTTCTCTTTTCATTTGTGAGCATATATTCTTTTCTATTAAATGGATTATGGTGATATCATGGCCTTTCACCTAAAATAGGCTAGCTCTAGGAAATTCATTTCATTTTCTCCTTCATTTCACTTTTAGAGTTCACCAATTTTATCTTCTCTTTTCATTTAGCAATAAGAATTTGATTTTTTTAAATAACTAATGAAGATAAATCATTGTTATCTTTAAAGGGGATATTGCCTATAGGAACTATATATATGTTACAAGTTTATTTAATGAAGTAATGAGGATAGCGTTCATTAAAGTGTTCTGTAAAACTGTTTTGTTACTGTGTAGTCATGATATCCCCCCTGCTCACCAATGACATTGATTAGATAACCATGAGGATTTTTGTTATAATCTCAGAAATAATTAGAAAAGGAAATTTCAAAAAGAACTGTAATTCTGCAAGAAGGCACCTGAGCAATATCATTAAGAATCTGGTAGAAATAAGACATAAACAAAAGACAAGTCAAAAAAGGAAAGTTAAAGTGGCAATGAGATAAAATGAATCAAAGCTAAACATAAGAGCTAAAAACTACAAAACTCTCAGAAGAAAGCAGAGGTGTAAACCTTTTACATTGGACTTTAGACTATAGGGTTTTTTGGGGATTTTTTTGGTTTTTTGGTGGCTGGCCAGTAACAGGATCCAAACCCTTGACCTTGGTGTTATCAACACCATGCCGTAACCAGCTGAGCTAACTGGCCAGTCCTATGGTTTCTTAATATAATGCTGAAAGCAGAGCAACAAACAAAAAAAATAAAAAGATAAATTGGATTTAACCAAAATTAAAGATTTTTGTGCTTCAGAGAACATTTTTAGGAAAGTAAAGAGACAACTCACAGAATGGGAGAAAATTTTTGCAGATCCCATATCTGATAAAGGGCTAATATCCATAACACATAAAGTACTCTACAACTCAACAATGAAAAGACAACCCAATTTTTTAAGTGTCCAAAAAGGATCTGAGTAAGCATTTCTCCAAAGATATATAAATAGCAATAAGCACATGAAAATGTGCTCAGCATCATTAGTCATTAGGAAAATGCAGCAAAAACCACAGTGAGTTACCACTTAACATCCACAAGGAAGACAAAGTGTTGGTGATGATGTGGAAAAATGGAAACCCTCAGGATAATTTACTGTTTTTAAAATCATGTGCTCCACGTAGCCATATGTTATTAGAAATACAGATTCTGGATTTTTAACACTATTTCCAAGTGATTCACATGCACATTAATGATTAAGTGGGGTGGATTGGTTCCCAGGTTCACTGCAAACAGGAATCACTTTTTTTTTTTATTGGTTATGAATATTCATGGCATACAAAGCTGACCGTCACCACTCATGCCCAAGGTGTGATGGCCAGATCAATACTGGCAGCAGATAATATACTTTTTTAAAAGATTTGTCTATGAATCTTCTAGGAGAATCATAACTTTTAAATCTATCTGGATTTTTATATAGGTTTTTTGGGTTTTTTATTCAGCTGGTGTTTAGTAGTGGCCCATCCCTAGCATCTCACAGTAGGTTTAAAAAACAATATCTAATATTTTGTAGTTAATTATCCACCTTCTGACCCAGATGGGCCCTGTAGCATCTGTGTTTTTACAAAATGTAAAATCGACACCATTAAGGTGTTTTCAGCTGAAATTAGCCCTGGGTCTTCTGGCTTCCAGTGTATTTTCCACTGTATCTTTCTAAGTACTTTTCGCCAATTTAGATCATAAGTGAGACACTACCAAAGTAGCATCAAAAACGATTGTTTTTACATGTTTATAAGACCATCTTTAGAGATAACAAATTTTAATAAAAAGATAGGCAACCATTTCTTCACTTCATTGCAAAACCAGTGTTTTACCCTCGCCAGGTTCAATACAGAAGGAAAAAAATTGTTATGAAAATAAGGGGGAATAGCTTGTTAACTTTTGATAACACATTAATGAGATGGTTTTTATTTCATGTTAACATGATACAAAGGGCACAAGTGCTCCTGGAGTTGAGTATACTAATATTGAGCAGGGCCTCAGCCTGGCTGAAGCAGGGGATTCTAATTAAATTACAGTCTAGGTAAACAGACCCTCTACACCTCAGCACAACTAGGCCATGATTTGATTTAAAAACTTCTTTTGTCAATAGTAAAAGAACACAGAAGAAGGGAAAATGGCGTAATAAAGCCCCATTTATCCCTCATGTAACTTAAACAGTTATTGACATTTTGCCAGTCTGTTTTATCTGTACCCTCACGTTTTATGTTTGTTTTCTATAGGATTTTCAAAGCAAACAAATCCAAAATATTACATCATATTAAATATTTCATGAAGTTTGTACTTCTGGGACATAGTATAATGTTTTAGAAATTACTTCCTGGCTTAAATTCCTGTTTGTTTTAGGTGGTGAGATCTGCTGAGGAAGCTGCATCAGTGTTGGCCACTTCAATTAGTCCAGAGCAGTGCATCAAAGTGCTTTGTCCTATCATCCAAACTGCTGACTACCCAATTAATCTGGCTGCAATCAAAATGCAAACAAAAGTGATAGAGAGAGTATCCAAGGAAACACTTAACCTGCTTTTGCCAGAGATTATACCAGGCCTAATACAGGTAAGCAACAAAGCTTGAAGGAACAAGCTGTGATACATTGGGGTTTGGTTATTTTGGGCACTTTCCAGGCAACACTGGTGGCATGATCAAGCCTTCCTGCCATCTGTGATGTTCAGAACAAAGACTTTCCATAATTAGCTGGGTGTGGGTGTGGTGAAATATACGTAACATAAAATTTACCATTTAACCATTTTTAAGTGTACCATTTAGTGGCATTCACTATGCTGTGCAACTGTCACTACTGTCCATATCCAAACTTTTTCATCATCCCAAACTGAAACTGTATACCCAGTAAGTAATAACTCCCCATTTCCCCTCTCTCCTATCCCGCAGTAACCTGTATTCTACTTTCTGTCTCTAAAATTTACCTGTTCTAGAATGGTTTCTCATGTAAGTGAAATCATATAATATTTGTCCTTTTGTGTCTGGATATTTCACTTAGCAAAATGTTTTCAGGGTTCATCCGTATTGTAGCATGTATCAGAATTTCATTCATCTCTTGATGAATATTTGCTTTTTTTCTTTTTCTTTTCTTAGATTAACATAAATATCACAGCAAACTTCCTTGTAATATCTTCTTGTAATTACATGTATGCATCTAAAAGCGGAATTTCTAGGTATTGCCCGATTTCTATCCAAATTGGTTGTACTAATTTATAGTCATAGATGTAATGTGTTTTTATCTATCCATACAAACCCATGCATATAAACATTTTAACAAAAATGAGATCATATTTTGTACCATGCTTTGATTAATTTAACCATATATTGTGAGTTTTTTCCATTCAATAAATAATATTCTACAATGTAATTTTAATGATTAACATTACATAGTGTACCTATTAAGGCCCACTCAAAGAAAATTAATTATTCATTTCTTTCTGCATCTATAGTATTATATTTGTTACTCTGTTCTAAACTCAATATTACTCACTAAATTGTGAGATCCTAAGATCCAAATCTCTTTCTTCTTTGTACTTTGGTACTAAGAATAGAATATATATGATATGTATATGTCATACATATAATGGGTACTGAGTAAACGTTTGCTGGATAGATAACTTAGAAGATAATAGTAAAAAGCTGTTGTGGCTGTAAGTTCTTGTGCATTTCTTATTTCCTCTGATGTTAGCTTGGTAGCATCTTATCTATCAGAAAAGCACAAAAATGCTAATAAATTTAAATATTAGCATTTTCTTTTTTTTCTTTTTTCATTAGTTTTATTTCAACATTTATTCATACATATTTGTGGGGTACCGTGTTTTGTTTCAATACAAGCATATATTCTACATTGATTCACTTAGGATAGATAGTATAGCTTTATACCCATTAATTCCTCATTTCCCCTCCCCCCAAGTACCCCTACCCTCTCAGTCTCTCATAACCATTATTATACTCTCTACTTCTATGAGAACCACTTTTTTTTTTTTTTTAGCTTCCAAATATGAGTGAGATCCTGCAGTATTTGTCTTTCTCTGCCTGGCTTACTTCACTTAATATGATGGTTTCTAGTTCCATTCATGTTGCTGCAAATGACAGGATTTCTTTTTTTTTTTTTTACAGTATTCCATTGTGTATATGCCACAGATTTTTTAATCATTAATTCCTCATTTCCCCTCCCCCCAAGTACCCTTACCCTCTCAGTCTCTCATAACCATTATTATACTCTCTACTTCTATGAGAACCCCTTTTTTTTTTTTTTTTTACAGTATTCCATTGTGTATATGCCACAGATTTTTTAATCCATTCATCTGTTGATGGGCATTTATGTCGATTCCATCTCTTGGCTACCATAGATAGTTTTGTGATAAACATGGGAGTATAGGTGTCTCTTTTATATACTCATTTCATTTCCTTTGGGTATATACCCAGCAGTGGGATTGCTAGGTCATAGAGGAGTTCAATTTTTAGTTCTCTGAAGGACCTCCACACTATTTTCCACAATGGCTGTACCAAATTACAATCCCAACAATGTAGGAGAGTTCCCTTTTCTATTGATCCTTGCCAGCATTTGTTCTTTTCGGTCTTTTTTGTTAATAGCAATTCTACCTGGAGTGAGGTGATATCTGATGGTGGTTTTAATTTGCATTTCCCTGATGATTAGTGATGTTGGGAAATTTTTCTTGTGCCTTTTGGCCATTTGTATGTCTTCTTTTGAGAAATGTCTATTCAGGTCCTTTGCCCATTTTTAATTGGGTTATTTGATTTTTTGCTGTTGAGTTGTTTGAGTTCTTTATATCTTCTAGATATTAGCCCCTGGTCTCATGTGTAGTTTGCAAACACTTTCTCCCATCCTGTGGATGGTCTCTTCACTTTGTTGATTGTGTCCTTTGCTGTGCAGAAGCTTTTAAGTTTGATGTAGTCCCATTTGTCTATTTTTGCTCCAGTTGCCTGTGCCTTTGTAGTCTTGTTCAAAAAAGTGCTGACTACTCCTATTTCATGTAATGTTTTCTCTATGTTTTCTTGAGGTGGTTTATTAGTTTGAGGTCTTAAATTTAGGTTTTTAATCCATTTTGAGTTAATTTTTGTGTATAGTGAGAGATAGGGGTCTAGTTTCAATCTTCTGCATCTGGATATCCAGTTTTCCCAGCATAATTTATTGAAGGGACTTTTTTTCCCCCAGTGAGTCCTCTTGGCACCTTTATCAAAAATCTCTTGGCTGTAAATACATGGCTTTTACTTCCAGGTTCTCAATTCTGTTCCAGTGGTGTGTGTGTCTGTTTTTATGCCAATACCATGCTGTTTTGGTTACCATAGCTTTGTAGTATGTTTTGAAGACAGGTAGTATGATGCCTCCAGCTTTGTTCTTTTTGCTCAGGATTGCTTTGGCTCTTCAGGGTTGGTTTGTGTTTTTTGTTTGTTTTTTTGTTTTTCTCAGTGATGAAGGATGAGTTTTATTTTTTCAAATGTACTTTTAATTAGTCATAGATTGATACTTTTTAAAAATACAGTAGAAGTGAATAACCAGAGAAGTGATTATTTTTTTAAAAAGATATCCACAGGTCATATTTTTTAATTATTAGTGTTGTTTTTTCTATTTCTGTGAAGAATGTCATTCCTATCTTTATAGGGATTGCATTGAATCTGTAGATCACTTTTGGTAGTATGGTCATTTTCACAGTATTAATTCTTCCAACACATGAACAAAGAATGTCTTTCTGTTTCATTGTGGCCTCTTCAATTTCTTTGATCAGTGTTCTATAATTTTCCTTGCAGAGATCTTTCACCTCCTTGGTTAAATTAATTTATATAAGATCCTGTCGTCTGCAAACAGGGACAATTTGACTTTCTCTTTTCCAATTTAGATGCCTATTTCTTTCTTTTGCCTAATTGCTCTGGCCAGGACTTCCAGTACTATTTTGAATAAGAGTGGAAAGAGTGGGCATCCTCATCTTATTCCAGTTCTTAGAGGAAGAGTTGTCAGCATTTCCCCATTAAGTATGATATTAGCTGTCAGTTTGTCGTATATAGGCTTTATGATGTTGAGGTACATTCCTTCACTGCCTAATTTGCAGAAGGTTTTTATCATAAAGGATGTTGAATTTTATCAAATGCTTTTTCTGCATCAATTGAGGTTATCATATGGTTTTTATTTTCATTCTGTTGATGTGATGTATCACATTTATTGATTTGCACATGTTGAACTGACTGTGCATCCCTGGATAAATCCCACTTGATTGTGGTGAATGATCTTTTTAATATGCTGCTGAATTTGGTTTGCTAGTATTTTGTTGAGGATTTTTGCATCAGTGTTCATCAGGGATATTGGCTTAAAGTTTTCTTTTTTTTTCCTGTTATAAAGGTAATGCTGGCCTTGTAGAATGAGTTTGGAAGAGTGTTCTTCTCCAGTTATCAGGAAGAGCTTGAGAAGAATTAGTACTAATTCTTTTTTAAGTGTTTGGTAGAATCCAGCAGTCAAGCCATCTGGTCCTGGGCTTTTTTTTTTAATGAGAAGACTTATTACTGCTGATTCAGTCTCATTACTCATAATTGCTCTGCTCAGGTTTTCCATTTCTTCTTGGTTCAATCTTGGTAGATTGTGTGTGTTCAGGAATTTATCCATTTCCTCTAGGTTTTCCAATTTATTGACGTACAGTACATAATAATATCTGTGATCCTTTATATTTCTGTAGCATCAGTTATGATGTCTCCTTTTTCATTTCTGATTTTATTTGAGTCTTTTCTCTTTTTTTCTTAGTCTCGCTAATGGCTTGTCAGTTTTATCTGTGTTTTTTTTAAAAGAAGCATTTTGTTTTTACAATCTTTTGGCTTGGGGTTTTTTTTAATTTTATTTTATTGGTCCCAATTTTGTTTATTTCTGCTCTGATCTTTATTTATAAAAGAAGCATTTTGTTTTTACAATCTTTTGGCTTGGGTTTTTTTTTAATTTTATTTTATTGGTCCCAATTTTGTTTATTTCTGCTCTGATCTTTATTTATTTGTTTATTTATTTATTGGTCCCAGTCTTGTTTATTTCTGCTCTGATCTTTATTTATTTTTTGTTCCAAATTTTGTTTATTTCTGCTCTGATCTTTATTATATTTATTATATTTCTTTCTGCTAATTAAGGTTTGGTTTATTCTTGCTTTTCTGATTCCTTTAGATGCATTGTTAGATTACTTATTTGAAATCTTTCTGCTTTTTTGATGTAGGCATTTATTGCTATAAACTAACTTCTTAGTACTGCTTCGGCTGTATCCCATAGGTTTTGCTATGTTGTGTTTCTGTTTTCATTTGTTTCAAGAAATTTTTTAATTTCATTTTTAATCTCTTCGTTGACCCGTTGGTCATTCAGGTGCATGTTGTTTAGTCACCATGTATTCATACAGTTTTGAGAGTTTCTCTTGCTATTGATTTCTAGCTTTATTCCATTGTGATCAGAGAAGATAATTAATATGATTTCATTTTTTTAAAGTTCATTGAGACTGTTTTGTGGCTGAACACATGGTCAATCCTGGAGAATGTTCTATGTGCTGATGAGAAGAATGTGTGTTCTGCAG